AGGCAAACATGGAGAAGGTGAGCTGCTACCTGCGGGTTCTGTGTAAATGAGAACATGCATGGTGATGGAGGGAGGGATACAAAAGGTGAGGGACAGGCGTCCCTAAGTGAAGGACCACAGTTGATTGTCGTATGCAAATGTAGCGAGTCCCAGCAGCGAGGCCAGGCGCCCAGGAGCCCAGGAGCCCAGGAGCTCACCTCGGCAGGCTGGGGTACTGCAGGACACAAAGTTCTCCCTGGCCCCCTCGTCCTGGGGTTGCCCACAGCCCAGGCAGTAGGCCTGCTGCTGCCCAACGTGCTTCATCAATGGAGCCAGACAGAGGCACCTGAGGAGAGGGGTCCCAGACGCTCAGCAGCCTGCCCCCAGCCTAGCCGTGCCCCCCAGCACAGCCCCCCCGCCCCCCGGACCAAGGGCAGGCCTTCCTGCCGTCTGCTCTCCATCCCGCTGGCTGTAGCCGCAACCTGCTTCCTGTCCTCCTCCTCCCTTCGCTCCCCACCTCTAAGGACGTGCATCCCTAATCCTCCCTCTCAGTGCGAGAATGGCACGGGGTGGGCGTCCTCTTCAACCAACCCTCCGGACACTGAGGGGGGACAGGGTCCGTTCGGACCTCCGGCTTTTGTTCCGTCCCTCTCTGCCCCGCGCCTATAGGGAGGGCAGTGGGCTCACCGCCTGGCCAGCACCTGCAGGAGGCTCAGCTGGCCCTGGTCCGCTGCCCGCCGCCTCACTGACCGGTGCAGGGCGGCCAGCAGGGAGGTGCGGCGGCTCAGAAGTAAGTTGTAGAGGTAGGAGATCCTCTCCTGGCGGAGGCAGGTCAGGGATGGGGTCCCCTTTACCCAGTTTCACCTGCCTGGCCCGCCCTCTGCACCCATTCCCTCTCCCTCCCTTTGCCTTCCCTCCAACTCCCGTGAGTGCCTCTCAGCTTGGCTCCAGCGCCCTTTCCTCTGGAAGCCGCTGGGCTCCCCCAGGCAGTCGCCCACCCCTCCCCTGGTTTCCATAGCACTGCATTCACTCCTTAATAAGAACCCTTGTTTACTTGTAATGTCTTGTTAGCAGCCTGTCTCGCCTGCCTGGAGTCTGGAGCCCCAGACTGTGTCCATTCGCCCTGGCATCCTCGATGCCAGCACAGGGACTGGCATCCAGTAGATGCTCAGTAAATGAGGCGTAAACGAATGAGCAAGTGGTGAGTTTCCACTCACACCTCAACAGGCCAGCACGCCCCCTTCCCCCACGGTTTCAGCAATACTTGGGCCCTGGCTGGTTTGGCTCAGTGGATAGAGAGCGGCGCTGTGGACTGAAGGGTCCTAGGTTCAATTCCGGTCAAGGGCACATGCCCAAGTTGTGGGCTCGATCCCCAGTAGGGGGCATGCAGAAGGCAGCTGGTCAGTGATTCTCTCTCATCATTGATGTTTCTATCTCTCTCTCCCTCTCCCTTCCTCTCTGAAATCAATAAAAAATATATTTTTTTAAAAAACACACAAAACAGTACTTGGAAGGCAGGCTGTCTCAGGAAGCCCTGCCCCAAGAGGCCCTATTTCTCCCAGGCCCTACGGCGTCGGGAGACCTTCAGTCTAGGTCATTTGCTTTGGGGTTCAACCAGAGGAGCGAGGACTGGGGCTGCTGAAGGACTCCAAGCTCCCCAAAACTCAGACAGCCAGATTCGCTCCCTGGGGAGGGGGACAGGGACGGGCTGGGGCCCCTCACCTGCTCCCGGGATGGGTAGTAAGAAGCACAGATGACCCGCCGCAGCCGGCTGACGTAGCTCCCAAACAGGGTGACGAAGAAGCATAGGCCGTACATGATGCCTGGGGGCACAGTGGGCACGGCAGCCACTGCCGGTGGGTCCAGGTGCCAGCCACACCCCCTCCGCAGTCGGCACCCCTCATGCCCCGCGTGGGGCCTACGTCACACCCCGTGCTCAGGGGTGCGGCTGTTACCGATGACAATATAGCCAGTGGTGTTGGGCTCCGAGGGGTGCAGGGCGCAGCGCCGTGACAGGACGGTGACGTTGCCTTGCTGCAGGACATCGAAGGCCGACACCAGGTCGCGGTAAATGTTCCCAGTATAGCCGCTGCCTTCCACGGTGATGGATACCAGCACGGGGCCTGGCACGGAGACCCTGTGTGAGTTGCGCTGGGGCAGCTGCCTGCTCCCCATACAGGAAGGCCACACCTTCCACAGGGCAGAGCGGGGCAGGTCGTAGGGACGGCCCAGCGCCCTCACCACCTGGCCTTTGATGCACCTGGCACTGGCTCCCCGGGGCAGAGCTGGCTGGCACTGGTGCCTGGTCTGCCCGCCCAGGCCACCAGATCTGAGGTGACCTTAGCGGTCGGTAAGTCCATCCCCCACCCCCACTGCTGCCGATGCATTTGAGTTAAAGCGCCTGCTAAGCGCTGGCCATGTGGGCGCGGACTAAGTGCGTTATTGGCTGTCGGGGTGTTTTTACTTTCGTTGTTGGCCCTCTGGCCACAGCATTAGATTCCTTGTGTGCCATGGTTCTCCACACCCCCAGCCATCTGCCAGCAGCCAACGCTCAGGGCCTCATGTCCTCCTTAGAGGGGCCCAGCCAGGCTGCTGCACTACGGCCTGCTGTGCGGGTGAGGCTGACGCTGGGAAGTTAAGCAACTTGCTCACGGTCCTCACCTCGTAAAGAGCGGACCTGGGATTCGAACCCGGGCCATGTGACTCGGGAACGTGCGAGTTTAACTACTCGGTCATGGTGTAACCTTGACCTGGACACAGGGTTTACCCGGCAGAGGGTAGAGTTGGAAGAGGAGCAACGTCAGAGGCTGGTAACAGTGATGACGGGGTGGAGTGGGCAGTTGCGGGGGGCGCTCAGGCAAACCCCCAGGATGGTGGGGAGGATGCAGGGGCCGGCCGAGGGGGCTGAGGGGGGCACGGGGAGGTTGAGGCGCTCACTGCGGGCCACCATCTCCCCCTGCAGGTGGTGCCGGGCCAGGTCCAGCACCCAGAAGACCGCGTAGTCCAGGAAGATGAGGAGCAGCGTGATGAGGAGTTGCCGGAGAAGGTGGGAGATCGCCAGGAGGTAAAAAAGCTGCTCCCACCGGGACAGGTAGAGGGAACCTGGGGAGAGGAGGGCGGGGCGGGTCGGGCGGCTGCCCCCAGCTCCCTCACCCCACAGACTCCAGACCTGGAGGGACCTCTCTCCTGGGGAGGCCTCCTGCCCTGGAGGGGGCTGGAGCCTGTGTGCTCATCTGGAAGCTGTGGTCGCTGCCAGGACCCCTGGGCAGAGGGGGAAGCCCTCTTCAAGGCCAGGAGCAGAGGCCTAGATGCTGTACCTGGGCCTGGTGGCCCATTTCCAGTCTCCGGGAACCCTCCTTCCTGGGGAACCCCTGACCCCCATACTCAACTCCCTGCGTCACAGACAGCCCCCAAGTTGCATCTCCTCCGTATTACCACACTCACACTTCCTGCCCACCCCCAAAGCCTCCCCCCGTCACTTTTCTTGCTCCATGTCCACCCTCCACCCCTCTTCCTCTCTGTCCTGACGTCGAGGCGCTCCTAGAAGCATCTTCTGCCCTCCTCTGTCTGCCTGCGATGAGGAGCCCTCCTTTCCCCCCCACACTGAGGCTCCCCAAGGACAGGGCGGTGCTCCCTGGACCCTGAAATTGCCTTAAAGCTCCGGGTTGTCCCTCCTCACTCGGGCCCTGCCCTAAGCCCAGCCTGTGCGTGGGGTTCAAGGTCAGGGCAGTGGGGTTGGGGGAAGCCTGGCCTTTCTCAGGCCCCTGTCCCCTGGCCCTCAAGGCGCTCACCTGGCCGGATATAGTGTCTGGCCTCGTGGGCACTGAGGGGCAGCACGGTGGGCAGCCCCGCCCGGGAGCGCACGGCCTCCATGTGCAGGAACCGGCTGGTGATGTAGATGTTGTCATGGCTGTCCAGGTTCAGGTAACAGTACCGGTAAAACAGGGCCCTGGCGGAGCAGGCACGAGGCTCCTCACACCCCGATCTGACCCCACAGGGCACCACCCCCACCGGGAACCCCCGCCCCCCAGAATGCCAGGGGACCACCCCAGCCCCGCCCCAGCCCCTCACTGGAGGTAGAGAAGTACAAGCAGCAGAGGCGTGGCGTAGCCCATCAGGGCCAGGGCCTCCCGGGCGCGGTACAGCTTCATGCTGACGGCCTCGTAGAGGTCCAGGGCCACCTGGGACAGGCTCCGAGAGGCATCGAGGTCCACGGAGAAGTAGTGGGTGGCTGTCACGTTGAACTCAAACTCTTGACGCACCCGGTTAATCAACTTCTGCACAGCTGGGGCCCGCAGGTCGGGGGAGAGGTGAGCAAGGACAGTGAGGGGGAGACACAGCCTCACCTGAGGGAGGGGCCTGGCACAGCCCAGGGGCCAGACAGACCAGCCGGGACCCCCAGTGCCTGCACCCACGTGGACTGAGGAAGGGACAGCGCCCCCACAAGCCGTGCTCTACAGGAAGTCGGGCTTTGGTGAGGCTCCTCCCCGTTGCGGGGCCTCAATTTCCTCCTCTGCACAGCACAGATATTGCTCCGGGCAGCCCACTGAGGTCCCTTCCTGCTCTCGCCTTCGCACCCAGGGGCTGGGAGCATCCCAGGCTGGCAATGGCCTCACCAGGATGAGGGAGGGGGGGAAAGCTCCCAGGAGCACCACAGAGGGCAGGGCATCACTCACGGATGCCGATGGTCGTGCGCAGGAAGGGCTGGATGTACTTGGGGATGATGCAGAACACCTGGACCACTGAGAACCAGAGGCTGAGAGTCAGGAGGGCAGCGAGATGCGGCCGGCCTCGCCTGCCTCCGGGGACCTTGTTCTCACAGGGTCCTCTTGACCTTTTGCTTGTCCTACTGGCCTCAAAACCTTTGGCTCAACACCTTTTGGCTTCTCCCTATCACCTCACCCTCCCACGCTGGTTTCTCACGATCTTCCCTCCACCCCATGCTGGGCCGGCATCCTATTGGCCCCCACAGTCTTCACCCCCTACCGGTCCCCTGGGCCTGCCCTCCCAACTGACCCTGCCCCCAATTCGCGGCGCGCCCCCCCCCCAATCCCGCCCCCGAGCCCCTGGCTCTCTCACGGCTGGCAAGTCCACAGAGCACCAGCTTGAAGGGCATGAGCACGTAGCACAGGTGATAGGCCTGTGGGATGACCTTCATGCAGCTGTCCTTGGCGTCATCGAAGACCCGCGCACACTTCAGGTAAGGGTTGCCCAGCTCTGAGTTGCACACGTCTCCGATATGCAGGAGCCAGTACCACACATTGCGCAGGGCCCTGGCTGGGGCAGCCGTGGGCTGGTACCCGGGGCCGGAGGCCTGCAGCGTCTTTCCAGGGGTTTGGGGAACACCAGGGGAGCACGCAGCGGGGGAGGCCTGCGCTCAGGGGCCTGGCTGTGTGTCACTGGGAGCTCGTCGGCACCCAGGAAGGGCCCACGGGGTTCCGGACAAGGGTGAGGCGGAGGAGACGGGGTGAACTGTGACACCACCACCCCCTCCCAGAAACAGACGTGCTAACGTGCTGACCTATATGCTTCACTCCATCCATGATGGATCGAAAGAACTTGCGGATCCGGTCAGCCACCTCTTTGGCCTTCTGGGCAATGGCCTTAATCTTGTTCAGGGCACCTGAGGGGCAGGGCAGGGGTACTGTGGGGGTCTCTTCCTCTGGGGACTCCTCCGTCCCACGCTGTCCCTGGGGGAGGGGGAGGGGGAAAGGGAGGGGAGAGGGAGAGGGGCTGCCCGGGAGGTGGGGAGCCGGGATGCCTGGGTCTGGGAGCAGCTGCCCTGGCAGTGGAGCAGCCGGAGGGCACGATTGAGGGGCCTCCTGGCGCAGGGAGGTGGGGCAGTGCCAGCAGAGGGCTGAGGCTGGAGGCCTTACTGACAAGGGGCTGCTTCGCTCTCTCCAGCAACGCAGCCGTCTGGTTCAGGGCCAGCTCCGCCCCGCAGGCCACGGCCTCGCTGGCTTGGGTGAAGTTGCGCAGAGTGTTGGCACAGGGCCCTTGCAGCACCAACCCAAAGACAGCCAACAGCAGCAGCGCCCGGCTCTGCTCTGGGGGTGGGGGTGGGGCAGCTCCATCAGAAGCAGGAGGCAACACATCCAATCCCTCCCAGAAGCCTTCAGAGTGTTTCCCTCCACTCCCGCCCCCCCAGGTCCCCCTGCCCAGCCCCTGTCCCAGGACCTG